CCTGTCTTCCAATTCAGGATCATACTTATTTATAAATGTGTAGGTCCTCCAGGTTGATAAATATGTCTGTCTATAGGACGTGAACCAAAGAATGGCCATTACTGCTGTGTTGCCTTTAGTTTTAGATCAATATGGGTTTTTTGTTTGTTTGCTTTTGTTTTTTTTTTTGGAAAGGAGAATCATAAGTAGAGGACTGGCTGCAGACTGATGATTCATCCAGGAAACACCTATTTTGTATCTACAGGACAACACTTAGCTCTGCAATGGAAATGCCAGAATGTCTAAGCTTGTGTCCACAAGAAACTCCTAGTCTAGGAAACCACTGCTGTGTAAACGGATTTGTTGCCAGGGCAGCGTTGAGGAAGGTGGTAGTGTGTGGAGACAGAACAGCACAGAAGTAGCTTGTTAGTAAACCTATTACACTTCTCCCCCAGTAAGACACTCTATTTGCTTTCTTTATTTTGTTGAGTAGCAACTGAGTTTGTACCAGCCTTATTTAATGGTCTGAGAGAAAGGCAGGCTGGTGATCTCGGTTACCCTGGCAGCCATGGCTTGCCAATGATCAGGTAAAACTAGATGCTGGAATTTGGCACTTAGAGTCCAAACTTCTTCACTAAGACCTTCAAGGCAATGCTGTTCCCTGCTTTCATTGTGAGTTGTTCCATAATGGGAATTAAAGGTATGAAACAAAACCCGAGGCTGTCATCATTTTCACATTTGTGTGTCTGAACCTAAAGTAACCATAATGGTGAAAGGATAAGTGGATGCTTTCAGGTTTGCAAAGATTGCCCAAGCACTTGGATGTCATTGCTAAAAAGTAATGCAGATGCCTTTATGTATTTTCTTTTCCTAGCTAGTGTATCTGGCTATGATGAATAGTTTAATCAATGTACTAGTAGTAACTTAATAGTCAGCTTTTGGTACCACCAGCTAATTGAAGTTAGTGTTTAAAAGGGTTGACAGGTGCATTAGATTTAGTGAAACTGTTCACCTGGAAAAGTAAAGCTTCAGTACCAAGAAAGTATCACTGATAGTACTTATTGACTCAGACTGCCAGGTTCTTAAGTTGGAACACTAGACAAGAAACCTTTTTGGTTTCTGGAACAGTTCAAGGGCATGGGGTCTGAGGCATTGTGTCTTTTTGCTCTAATCTATAGTGGAAACCCCATTCCTTCACTCATTTTGAGCCCTGTTGTATAATAGTGTCCATGTATTCAAACAATAAAGACATAGAGTCCTAAGGGGTCTGAGAAGTGCCCAAGGGACTTTGCATGAAATTGTTAGCCCTTGACACTTGGGCTTTTGCTGTTGTAAAAGAAGATACCATTGTTTTGTGTTCATAACACCCCAAGAGGTTGCCTTCATCTCTGTCACTTCGGGAACTCAGAGGTTTAAAAAGAGGGGAGTAACTTGAGGGATTAGAAGGCTTGATAGCAAACTAAGCTAAGAGTGGAGTCCTTTTGCAGACTTGATTTCATTTCCTTTCAGTCCTTGTGTCCCATTCCTTGTCCATGCCCCCTTCCCCTCCCCTTTTAACCCCCCTAGGACCATTAGAATTCAAAATTAGAAACTTAGATATTTGTAAAAGTATTTGTAAAATTGGTCTTGGTGGCCTTTGTTTTTAAAGAGCATAGAAAGAAAAAAAATATCCAAATCATTTGTCTTCTGACTTTTTAAAATCCAATTAGGAAGAAAGGGTGTTCATTGAAAGTCTGAGAACAAGATGACTAAGTATTGTTATTGCATCCCTGTATCCTGCAGTGCCATGCTTTAAAGTATTGTACTGGATGCCATAGAAATGATGTTAAAATTCAGCATTTAATCTTATTTGTATTTTTACTGCTAGAGCAAGATGTGAACTCCAAGAGCAAGGGGTATACTTACTATGTTGTAATGGACTTGTTTCCTGAATCATGTGTGTTCTTTGTTACAGACAATGGAAAGAAACTGTAATAAGCAAAGTGAAGATTTGTCTGGTGTGTGTGTATGTGTGTGTGGTGGGGGAGGGGATGGCCAGGGCTGCTTCAGGGATCTATCTCAGCAGCATTCATGGATTTTAGCACTTCAAATCCTGGTTTTCTGAAGCTAATTGGCTCAGATTGGGTTACTGTATTTGTCTAGATCAATACTGTGGCCAGGGCATGTTTACTTCCATTTGTAAAGTAAGGGGAGAGAGGGAGCCGAACACAATCTTAAAGCTAACCTGGAGTTAATTTTGTATACAAGACAGATGAAAACATCCAGAAAATTCAGGATTGTTCTTCATAAAATATTTTTAACACTCTAATGTACTGTAGACCTCTTTTTTTTTGGAACAAATATTGTTTGGAGTCAAATTATTATTTCAAGTCTAGAAAAAAAAAAACAGTGGAAATTAGCTGTGTATTTTTGTAAAGGCCAAAAAGGGTTCACTAGAAACTTTGCTTTTTTGCTTTGAAAACATGAAGTTTTTGTTCTGAGGTTTTTTTGTTTTTGTTTGTTTTGCTATAATATTTAGTTATTGCAATTTAAAAAATACTTATTCTTGCTTGTTTTTTGAGTCAGAGTCTTATTCTGTGGCTCAGGCTGACCTGGAATTTAATGATCTCGTCTCAGCCCCCTGAATACTGGGATTGCAGGCTTTTGTCATAATGCTTGACTAAGATGTTATTTTATTCTTTTTAGATTTGCTTATTTTATGAATATGTGTTTGTTTGCATGTATAGCTGTGTACCACTCGTCGTCTTTCTGGTACCTGTGAAGGTCAGAAGAGGGCATTGGATCCCTTAAAACTGGAGTTGTATATGGTTGTGAGCTGCCATGTGGGTACAGAGAACAAGTACTCCTAACTGCTGGGCCTCCAGCTGCCTTAGTTACTTTTTTATTGCTGTGATAAAATACCGTGACTAAGGCAACTTGTAAAAGAAAGCATCTAATTTGGTTTATGGTTTCAGAGTTCATTACTTTTCAATTAAGCCTCAGGCAAATTCTTAGGCAAAGCAGCCATAGTCTTTGCCAAAATTTCACTAGAATGCTTGCTAGCCCAGTTGCTACTATTGTTTACCTCTTGGGCTGGGCCTCCACATAGAGTCTGTATAGCTCTCAACAGGATCCTACTAGGATGACTCATTAAGCTCTGCTCACAGCATCCGACTGTTTCCTAGTCCAGAGTCTCAAATTCTTCCACATTCTTCCAAAAAAAGCACATGGTCTGTTACAGCAATAGTTTACTTCCTGGTACCAACTTCTGTCTTTGTTACTTTTCTATTGCCATGATCAAAGCATCTTAAACAAGAAAATGTTTAATTTGTCTTACGGTTTTAGAGGATTGGAGTTCATAATGGCAGAATGAAGGACCAGCTGAGAGCTCACATATTGATCCTCATCATGAAGCAGAGAATTATAAGAATCACACTCTATTTTGACCTCAAAGTTTGCCTCAGTGACATATCTTCTTCAACAAGGCCACACCTCCCAATCTTTCCCAAACAGTTCTAACTGGGTACCAAGTATTCAAACATATAAGCCTTGGGAGCCATTCTCATTCAAAGTACCACACCAGCATCTAGATATTTAACTTAATGTAAGAATAGCAATCAAAGAAGACTGGTAACATGAATCTATTAGTGGATATTTACTATGTGAGATGTTTGCTGATAAGTAGTCTTTGGCTTTTCTTTCATTTATTTATTGTATAGTTAACTTGCATTTATTCTTGGCATTTACTATAAAATGTCATGTATGGCAGTCAAATTTAGGATTTTCTGAAAAACTTTGCACATACTATATAGTAAAGTACTTTTGGGCTCATACTACCTCTTTTTTCTTCATTTTTTTTTTGGGAGACAAAGTAGAGCACGTTCAAGGTTGGTGTGGCCATAAACAAGTTGGTATATTTCATTTGAGGTTCATCTGGGCATGTAGCACACAAAGTTGCGTGAGAAGTGTCTCCATCTCCTCTTATAGTTTGCAGTGGGAGGGTGAGGTCATGGGCAGCCTTGCTCCTATTTAGAAACTCATTGTTTTACTGTCTGCTAAAGTATTTGACTTCTTCATTTGATCAGTATCTGTGTGTGAGGACAGTTGCCTGAGCTTGCAAGCCAATGAATTTTGCATTTTATAAACAATACATAAATATTTTAGGTTAGCATACAAATAGACACTTTAAATCTGAATCTTTACCTGTTGTATTTAACATCTAATTTTTGTAATTTGATATTTGACATTTTACTATTTATTGACCATGTAGGCATAAACTTTAGTAATCTTCCCATGGCTCTCAATGATAATTCTAAGGATTAAGGATTCCTTGGTCCAGTGTCTTATAGATAGAGAAAATTGTAGGGATCTGTCACTAACTAAAGGCTCAAGACTGACTTGTAAACTAAGGTCTTAGGACAGTACTGGGAGCTACCTGGGAGCACATTGTAAATTAAATTAAATCCATCTAAGAATGCAAATCCAGATCCGGAGGCGCTTGGCACTCAAAGAACAATCGGTGTTACCTGAGCATTTATAGCAGTTTAGAATAACTGACTCTCACCGTAGGATGTGTGTGTGTGTGTGTGTGTGTGTGTGTGTGTGTGTGTGTCTGTGTGTGTGTCTGTGTGTCTGTGTGTGTCTGTGTGTGTAAATTATCATGAATAGTTACAGTCATGATACATGTCCTATATAGGGCCAAAGACACCTTAACAAACTAGATGAGTTGAGCTTTTTTAATTCTACCCTTTGTCTCATAAAAAGGAATGCAAATTCCTGCCTTCCAGAAATCTGAATTCACCAGTTTCTTGATCCTTTCGGAGTAATCATTCAAGTGTGTTATAGCAGGGAAAGAACCAAATGTTTATAATTTTTTTAGTAACTTGATTATGTGTGTGTGTGTGTGTGTGTGTGTGTGTGTGTGTGTGTGTGTGTGTGTGAAACATTTGGGTTTCCTTGGGTTATATTGACATCGTAGTATGAATTAGTTAAACTATTTACTATATTTATTATCAGGCCCAATTTCCTCCTTTATTCTGTTTCAGGGAGGAAATAATGCTGGCCACACAGTTGTTGTAGATTCTGTGGAATATGACTTTCATCTTTTACCTAGTGGAATAATTAACCCAAACGTTACTGCCTTCATTGGTGAGTGTTTAAACTGACTCCTTGGGGACAACTGTGGTATATTTTTGTTATAAAACTGACTTCATTTTCACTAACCAGATAGTTTTGATGGGTCACTAATTTTGACCATGATACTGTGTAGGACGGAGCCTCTGACTGCTGACTACCCTTCCGGGCCTTTTGCAGTAGAGTTCCCAGGATGTTCACTTTGCGAACATCTCTGAGCATTGTAGTTTTCATTCTGTAAAGAAGCTCTGATCACCAAGTCAGTTTTCCAAAGACTTTTCAGCTCTGACTATGAAAATATATATTTCATTCTGAACCCTTACACATGTAATCTGATGATTTGTATTCTGTTGTTTAAAAATGTTCATGGCACACTAAATTCGTTTTGTGGCCACAGCAGAGTGTGATTCTGAAAGACACTGGTCCAGACCATGTGTTAACTTCTTTCAGAAGCACTGTTATCTTCTTTCGGAACATGGTCCACTTGTTTCAAAGATATTCCAGGTTGTTTTCAGTGTAATTTTAGTGTTTTATATCCCCTATCATTTGTATATATTATAAACTTTGAATAATTTTTGTGGTGATTCCTTAATAAAATGCAATGTCCTGTTAATGAATGTAACTTGTTCTTCTGTTCAAAATGGTTATTATAGATGTCTACATTTTAACATTTATATGTATGTCTATATTATAATTACAGGTGTTTAAGGTGGAGGATTGTTTGTTTCTTTTAGGAAATGGAGTGGTAATTCATCTTCCTGGATTGTTCGAAGAAGCTGAGAAAAATGTTCAAAAGGGAAAAGGTATGAATGAGTGAGTCTAAATGTAATGTGTTATTTTTGTTAAATGTGTTATTACCATTTTTTTTCATCCCATTGACTAATCTTGCAATGGCTCCCTTTTCTGTCTGACTCATCACATTGAATGATAATGAGATATCTGCACCTCACTTGCTGAATCCATTTATTCAGTTTCTTTGTAATTCTTCCCTTAGACTGTTTCCTAAACCAACTTAGAATACATGTTTACGTGTCAAAAACAACTGTAGGGTAGCTTGCTAGTATTGGTTTTTCCTTGAGTACAGCACCTTAAGTGCTCTGCTGAAGAGGCCACCCCTTAGTCTATAAAGAATCAAACTAGATGTTGTCAAAGGTAACAACAGATTCTTATTTATGTATTTATGTTTCTTTGTGTAGCCTTATCTGTCCTGGAAGTAGCACTAGACCGGGCTGGCCTTGAACTCATAGAGATCTGCCTGCCTCTGCCTCCTGAGTGCTGGGATTAGAGGTGTGTGCCACCACTGTCCAGCTTTATGTTTTTTTTTAATGTTTGAAACTTTTGTGCTGGGGATTGAAGCTGGGTGCCTGCATATGATGGGCAAATGCTATATCACTGGACAACTTTTCTAGCTCAGTTTTAATACCCAGATGTTAGTTTTGAAAGCAGTTTATCCTACGAACACATGTAACTTACTAATGTACTAATTAATAAAGGAAACTACCTGTTTGGATTTGTCTATTCCTCCAACAGTCATTTCCCCCTCATGGTATGAAAGCTCACAGCCCCTACTCTTGGTAACTCATAGTTACATGGGGAGGTGCATCTATTTCATTACCATTCCATATCCTAAGTGTAGTAATCTATAAGACTTTGGAGAAATCATTATTTTGCCCAGTTAGATTTCTTTATAACTCTTTCGGGAGGGTGGGTACCATTATTAAAACCAGTTCTCTCCTCTTGAGTTTTCCCCATGCTCTGTACCTGATCCCCACCCCTATGTCCAGGAAAAGATTTTCCTGCTGTTCTTTTTGGGGGTTCTTAGGAGTATTTTATGTGAGTGTGACTGCCTTGAGACATTTAGAACATAATATTTGGAGATAAGAGCATGAATGAGCTTGTATGTTAGGACCAGTGACAAACTTGATAAGCTCAATGCTTCCATGCAGAAGAAAAGATACAAACATGAGTGCTTCAGTCAAAACACTCTTATAAAACATTCTATTCATAAAGAAATTAAGTCTTAAAAATGGTTACACAAAATGTTTGATAAAGTGTATCTTTTCTCTCCTAGGTCTGGATGGCTGGGAAAAAAGGCTTATCATATCAGACAGAGCTCATATTGGTATGGAGGCCATATTGTATTTATTTATAACTGCCTTTTAATCGAATGTATCAAGTGAAAGCATTTAGAAATGAATTATTTCTTATGTTTGTTTATAGACTGTTTCGAGGATAAAATACATAAGATGTTGATTTTTTTTTTGTTTGTTTGTTTGATTTGACAAGGACTAGATTGAAGTACACCTATTTCTGAAGACTAGGGTAACTAAGCTGATGAGTAGCATAAGCAGTATTGTGTGTCATCTTTAGTCATTAAAAATAAGTGGTAGCAAAATACAAAGCATTTATTTGTACATGTTAGCATTCCTGTAAGAGTGCATTTGACCTGAGTCAGGTTTTTAAGATGACTGCTGTGATGCGATGAATTGCTGCTCTTTTAAAATTAATTTCATCTGTCACCAGTAGTGGGTTTTCTTCTTGGTTACCATTCCTGAACCAATAGGATTAATGAGCAGTGACATGATTAGAGATGATAACCCGAAAAGAGAAAGAGGGGGTATAAATCAATAGAGAATTTTGGTATGGCCCTGAATCTATTCAAATATGTTTATGTCCTGAGTAGCTGCAAAATCTTAGCATTGTTCTCTTCTTTAAAAGGTCTCAATCAAAATGGAAATCAAGTAACAGTGTCACTAAAAAAAAACAGCCTCGAATCTGAGCTTTGTGCATCACCTCAGTAACTCTAAAATAGTGGCAGGATGGCTCAGCCAGTGAAAGTGCTTGCCTTGTGAGCCTGATGACCCGAGACCCGAGTTCTTGGGCATCCGTGCCCATACATGCATGTTACACAAGCAGTAATAAAGTAAAAGTAAAAGAACTTTTTTGAGGAAAACTGTACTGAATTAACATACAGTTTTTAATATGAATGTCCTTTTTTTCCATTACATTGTTCACCATGAAGTTCTTATAAAGTCTGAGAAGAGCAATTCTGTGCTATCATTGTAAGACATTTTTATATCAATAGCATACTGTGTGGTTTGTTTTTAGTGGGATGCTTATCCTTATTCTGAACTTGGTATGAGTAGATACAACATTTAGAATACTTTGATATTTTCAGAAACTCAAAGTAGGATTATCTACACAAATGCTTTAAGTTCATTTCTTTGTCTGAGAATACAGGTTGCATATTTGCTGAATTATTTCAGTGCTTTAGACTGCCAGGGAAGAAAAGGAAGGGTGCTGGGGGTGAGATGGTGCTTAGTGTCATAAAGACCCTTCTTTCTTTTTGGCTTTGAATCAAAGTCTTGCTAAGTTGTCAGGCTGGACTGGAACTCACTATAATATTCCAATCTGGCCGCAAGTATGTGATCTTCTCTCACCCTTCTGTCTTAACAGTCTACCATTGGATAAAATCTCAGAAGGTTCTTAGACTAGCATGCCTCCATTTGCTTGTCCAGCCTTTTTTGTTGTTGTCATATAATCCATGTCAATATAATGGTATAAACTTCAGTGTCAATATTTTTGCTTAAAAGAAATTTTAAGATGATAAAGATGCTGTGCAATTTGAAAAATAGTTGAGCAGTGGCTGAAGAGACAGCTCAGTGGCTTAGGAGTATTACCTTGCCGAGAGCCAGATTAGATTGTGAGCACTCGCATGTTGGCTCACAACCATCTGGAACTCCACTTCTGGGGATTTGTTGCTGTCTTCTTACCTCTGGGTACTATTCACACATGTAGGCAAAACACATAAAGTAAAATGACTAAATCTAAGAGATTTGTTTTTGTTTTTCAAAACAGGGTTTCTCTGTGTAGCCCTGGCTGCCCTGGAACCTGCTCTGTGGACCAGGCTGGCCTCAAACTCAGAGTCCTTTGCCTCCTGAGTGCTGGGATTAAAGGTGTGTGCCACCACCACTTCATGGCTAAATTTTTTTTTTATTAATTAAAAAAATTAAGCAACTTAATCATCTTTTGTCCTGCCCTACTGACATAGTTGGTAATAAGAGAGATGTTTATTCAGAGTAGCCTGAGAAATGAATAAATGGGGTAAATACTGTAAGCGTCTCAAGTACAGAGTTGCTGGTGTCTGTCTTTTATTCATGTATCCATTACCTGTGCTAGACATGGTCTCAGACCATGGAGATTCAAGAGTGTTAGAAAGACAATATTTAAAAAAATCCTTTAGTGAAGCTTATCGTATAGTAGTGAACACATTATGTAAGACAAATATATAATGAATGTGTCATGGCACAGCATTGTGTTAATAAAGCTCAAATATAGTGCTGGTGGTATAGTTCAGTGGTAGACAGTGCTGGGTAATTACCAATATCAAATACTTAGATAAGTAAAACTCAGCCAAATTTACCTATATCAATACTTTTACAGTGGTGCTAATGAAACTGCTAAGGGTATACAGTTACCTTTCATTTAAAAAACAATTAGACTAAATTCTCAAGGTAGTTTTTCTTTTCTTCAATGTCTAGACTTCTGTAGAAAACAAAAGCAATATTCAAAACAACTTCAGAGAGAGTAATCAAAAGTAATTGGAAGGCATTAAGGTTCTACACCATTAAAGTCATTGTTCTAATTATACTAATAGCTTCCTGGGGCCTAGGAGAGCAGTAGCTTTGTGTCAGGGTACTAAACTAATTTTTTGATAATACACTTCAACTGCTTTCTGTCAAACATTTATTTGTGGTTTTCTAGTTGCCTTTTAAACTTTTCTGTTAATGGAAAATAAGAATTTAAATGCAGATGCTTTTTATGCAGAAGAAATTGTATGGCATATTCTAATATTTCAATTGTATTATAACTGACTTGCTAAGTTAGTGTTTATTAAAACAACTCTTAAGAATAACTCTGGTCCCTGAAATAATTTTGAAAGGCTACTGTCTGGGCAACAGGATAGGAACATGGTAACAAACTAATCATATGAGAGCAGTTTGAAGTACAACATGATACACATGTATACCACATGATACAACATTCATAAAAGCATGTAATATACTCAATGATAAAGGCTTCTAAGCGCCTGGAAAAATTGCTGTGGTGACTTTTCTGAGCCATTATCTGTAACCTTTGATCAAAGGTGACCACAGCTCATACTTCTCTTGTAGATTAGTTCTGTCATTTGGAACTTTATTTAAAATTACAGTTTGTACTATCTTTTGCATCTGGCCTACACTGAACATTCTGCCTATAATTGTTGCAATTCTCTTGTTATTGCTACTTGAAGCAAAAGGTTTTTCTTTTTAAAAAATTGTTACCTATTATGAATATGCCAAAACTTTTATCCCCTTTACCATTGGTGAAAATTGATTGAGTTTTTCCAATATTGGTTTATTAAAAATAGCATTATTTTGACATCCTATAGTTGTTATTTGCTATGTAATATTCCAGTATAATTTTAAGGATACTCTTTTACCGACTTGTGTGGTACTGAGACATGTATTGATTCACTCACTGCAAATTGAGCTTCTGTAGTGTAACTAGTGTACAGAAATTTCAAAGCTCTCACCAGGCATGCCGGAGAAGACTGGTGGCCATAGAAAGCTCTTGCCATGCAGGGCATAGGAGATAGGAGAACAACACTTTCTGCATAGCTTTGCAGGCTAAGGCTTGTGAGAGGGCAGTCAGTGTCTGTCCAGGTTTTATCACATTTTTCTAGTTTCTATGTAACTAATGTATATCTTCTAATGCTGGTGGTGGTGCACCCCTTTAATCCCAGTACTTGGGAGGCAGAGGCAGGGGATCTTTGAGTTTGAGGCCAGCCTGGTCTACAGAATGAGTTCCAGGACAGCCAGGGCTACACAGAGAAACTCTGTCTTGAAACAGACATGCTGCCACTAATTCTGAGAACTCAGTCATTCTACTTAGCAATTTAGTTGGAAGTAACAACATAATTGGTGGAAAGAAATCATGACATAATATGATAAAATCATTGAATTGTATACCTAAAACTGGTGAGTTTTAAGGTCTGTTAATTATAAAGTTGTCTAAAAAAAGTAAGTAAACTTTAGTTAGAAGTTGAGAAACCAAAACCATAGGCTTGCATGTCTGTGAGCTGTTTATGTAGTGAGTCAATAGATATTTGAGTACTTACTAGTACAGAAATTCACTAGCAAACTGACATTGTCCTAGGACTCAGAGTATTGTGTAAGGGGTATGAGTGTGCCCCGGCCCTCGGGGCTCCAGTAATTCATGAGGTGGATTAAGCCTGAAAATAATGGTTGGGAAAGAAGAGCCAGACCAAGCAGGATCTTTGTCACTGTCTCCTTTATTGATTATTACAAGGGGTTTTTAATAGAGAAAGGAGGAAGCAGAGAAAAAGGAGGTGGGGGAAGGAATGAATGTTAATTGCTCTCAGGCAGGTATCCGGAATCTCAGGAATAGGTGTTAGTTGCTTCTCAGGCCAGGTCCCGGAACCTGAGGGGTGGGATGCTAGACTAGCTGGCGGCTAGCTAGGCATGGGGGGTCGCCAAGGCTGGCTTCTGACATGAGTGTGCATATAGGTGCTTGTAGGTACACTGCATAGAAGTCTATAGTTGTAGCCAAGGACTGCAAGGGATGCTGATGTGAGCACAAGAGTGTTTACCATGTAAGTAGTTTTTCCTAAGAGTTGTTTCAAAGACAAGGATTCGATAAGTTGTTTGTGTCTTGGCAAGAAATTTTGAATGCATTAAAGAATTTGGATTCCATGTCCAAGAGTGGAAAGTGGCACAGGTTAGAGCATAGTTGTAGTGAAAGGTAATGGATGTTCGGGACTAGGGAGGAAGAGGTGTCAACCTAATCCCTAGAGTTCAGAACTTGAAGATGCAGAAGAAAAAAAAACCATATTATCTTTGGCTGCGTGTTGATAGCACACCCCTTTAATCCCAGCACTCAGGAGGCAGAGGCAGGCAGATCTCTTGAGTTCAAGATCTGCCTGGTCTACAGAGTGAGTTCTAGGATGGTTAGGGCTCTTATGCAGAAAAACCTTGTCCTGTCAAAAAAAAAGGGTACCTTTGTAGTAGTTCGAACTTTACTGAATTTTAGGTTAGGATATTCTAAAATTGCCCCCCCCCTTTTTTTTTTCTTTTTCTTTTTCTTCCTCTTTGCTTTCTTGAAACACTAATCCAGGTTGGCTTCAAACTTGTTGTGACCCTCCTGCCACAACCTGTTTAGTGCTGAAATCACAAGTGTAAACTACTATTAATACTTTTAGAAATATATCAATGTGATTTGTCATAAACAAGGTTGGAGGGATTTCTAGCTTTAGTAATTTGATGTAGAATATTTTATCTTGCATGTTATCTTTGTTTCAATAACAACTGTGATTTGTTTGGTTTCTCTTCAGTATTTGATTTTCACCAAGCAGCTGATGGCATCCAGGAACAGCAGAGACAAGAACAAGCAGGAAAAAAGTATGATATATACATACATATTTTAAATTTTGATATAGTTTGAACACATCTACATCGTTAGGTATAAATTCTGAGCCAGAAATAAAACAAAACAAAACCCAGAATAGATAGATAAGAATATTTTACTTAGGTTTCAGAGAAAACTGGTTAGATTATGCAAATAAGCTTGTAGGAAATTGCATAAATAGCAGAATCATATGTAACTTCCTTCTTTGGAAAGATCTGACCGCAGACTTACATCTTCCCTCTGTAACTTAAAGCTTGTTTTGGTTTGTTTTGAAGTTTGGGTACCACAAAAAAGGGCATCGGCCCAGTGTATTCCTCCAAAGCTGCTCGGAGTGGACTTCGAATGTGCGATCTTGTTTCTGACTTTGATGGCTTCTCTGAGAGGTAACAAACTTGTTTTTTCAAAATTTAAAATAACAAAAACATTTTTAAAGACAAGTGCAAAATTGAAGCACCAGTAATCAGATTTACTTTGTGACAAATAACTGATGATGATGTAAGACTATGTCCTAAGAAGATAGAATATCGTTCTTGAGGACTAGTTTTCTGTGACAGCAAATGTTCCCAGTGTGGCAATACTGATGTGTTCACCATGTCCTAGGATCTCATCTTCGATGTTTCAGATTCAGGGACCCCAATAGCCTTTCCAGGTCCTAGTAAATTATTTGGGCACATCTTCAAAACTAGAAATGCTACACCGACCTATTCTCTATAGAATGGTTTCCTTGGGAAATGTAGTGATTGTTTGCACTGGCAGGCAACTACACCAAAAGGGCCTAGAGATCAGTTGTTAGTGTCTAGAATATCATGTAGACCATTCCTTTCATACTTTTATATAGTAGAATGTGATTCACCTTTTCTGTTTTCAGATTTTAGTTATTCTGTTTCTTCTCCAACTACTCATGTCACCTTAATTATATTGTCTTAAACATAATTTTTTTTTTTTTTCCGAGATAGGGTTTCTCTGTGTAGCTTTGGAGCCTATCCTGGCACTCGCTCTGGAGACCAGGCTGGCCTCGAACTCACAGAGATCCACCTGCCTCTGCCTCCCGAGTGCTGGGATTAAAGGTGTGCACCACCAACGCCCGACATAAAAATGTATTTTAAGTATATAATTTATTCACGTTTATCTCCTTTATTAAATGAAAGTAACTTCAGTTTCAGAGCTAATATTATTTTAAGACCACTTAGAAGGCACAGAAATCACTTGACTTGAATGATATTATCTGAAGTATTCTTTAAGGTAGTTAATGCCATGATCTGTATTTTTCAGGTTCAAAGTTCTAGCTAACCAGTACAAATCTATATACCCTACTTTGGAGATAGACATTGAAGGTGAATTACAGAAACTTAAGGTAATGCTTTTTTTTAGCTAAGTGATGCGCTTTTAAACACTAATTGGCCAAACTGACATTCCAGTTTTGTGTATTAACTAGTGAAAGAACTTACAAGTCATTCTTGGACATAGCATGTTTGTGTGATTTCACAGTCTGGTTTAGATGGGAAAGGAATGGTGTGTGAAAGTAGCTAGATCATAGGTCTCAGATGCACCTGCAGGAACTTAGCTTTTATTTGGGAGACAGTGGAAAGCTATTGGAGAATTCTGAACAGAAGAAAGTTCAGATTTAGATTATGAGGAAACCACACATAACTACTGATGTGTAGATCTGTAAAGAAAGGACGTGTAGTGACTTGTAAAGTCAGCAGGTTTAGGATTGATAAACAGTTTCTTCAGCATTTGTTTCTGAGACAAATAACTTTACTGAAGAAGCCCAGTGGTGCCTGCTAACAGAAGGCTTCTCAATCATTGGTAAATGTTACATTGTTTCCTATATGCCTGGTGGTTACTTCTTTACAAGTATCAACATTGTTACTAGAACTGAGTAAGAATCTACATATCATATGTCATTCTGGAGTAGTTGCAGGCCTTATGTCTGCTTATGATTCACATAAATTGGGTGTGGTGGCCTATGCCTGCAATCCTAGCACTTGGGAGGTAGAAGCAGGAAGGTCAGAAGTTCAAGTTCATCCTCAGCTTCTTACTGAGTTGGAGCCCAGCCTGGGCCATTCTTGGGGTGGGGAGGGGGGGGATAAGAAAAAGAAACAACAAGAGAAACAAGATTTTCCTGAGTGACATGTGTTGACACATAAGGACTTTACAGAGTCATTTTAGCCACACAGAGAGGACTGAAATGTATGGATAAGTAAGAGATTAAAGACGAAAGGGCCAGACAGACATTCATTAGTGGGTGCAATGTATGGGCTCCTGGTAAGTAGCTTCTAGAATTGGCATTCTTAGTGCCCAGAGTTGAAATCAGGTTTTATTGCAGTGTACGTTCCACAGCCCTCAGGGAAATTCTTGTTTATATTTTTACTTGAATTCTGAAGTTAAACATTGCTAGCATGTCATGTTAGTATTTGATACTATCAATTGATGGCAAATTATGATGCTGTTACTATAAAGAAGAATGACAGCACTCATCACTAACATTTGCATGCTTGCCAGTGTAGTTTGTGTTCTTTCCACATTTTGTTGTCACTCTGATTTGAACTTGAAAATTGTTGGTTATATGGATTATAAATGCAGCTTTTCAAATAACTTAAAAATGTCAAAGTGCCATCTAATATAAACAGACAGTTCTTTTTATTCTCCCTGAAACCTAGCTTATATGAAGTGAGTACTTTGCTCTGTTCCCATTGAAGTTGATACAGAACTTTTAAATGTTATAGTGCTTGTGTGTGTATGTTGTTCAGGACCTCACACATGCTAGGTAAGTACTCTGCCCTGAGCCACATCTCCAGCCCTCCTGCTGCTGATCACTCTTTTCTGAGAGACCAGAGCTTATCCAGATGCTGCACTGGGGCGAGCGAGCCCCATCACCAGTGCCTTCTGCTCAGATTTGTCAGTTTCCACTGTCCGAGGTCAGGTAGTCTACACTTTGACTGTGTTATAATGTATTAGTGCACATGGAAACTGGTTTTTGTCTTTGTGTAGGGTTATATGGAAAGGATTAAACCGATGGTGAGAGATGGAGTTTATTTCCTATATGAGGCCCTCCATGGACCACCCAAGAAAATCTTGGTAGAAGGTGCAAATGCAGCATTGTTAGATATTGATTTTGGTAAGTGAGATATGATTCATAGGGAGTTTGACTGAGTCCAAAGTACTTAGATATAAATATTAATGTTAGCACTAAGGAGGTTATAAATAGTGCATTTAGCGTTTGTATCAGGAATGAGATAGCTTGTCATCTGGTGGCAAGGAATACTGTGGCAAGCACAGTATAAGTTACATTTCATTAGAAAAATAGAATCTTTTGGATTCTGTGGGTTTGGAGTTCTGTAGATTGTGAATTTTATTAGTTGGTTCATGATTTATTCAGTTCCCATTTCTCTGGAACTGTAAAATGATAAGATCAATTTGGGGACAATCTTCCCCTGTAAATCTTTAAAATAAATAGACATTAGGATTAAACATGTTTTTGAAGATCTAGACAAACCTGTGTATGTTAACTCATTCTGTACATGAGGCTTTCTGGTAGGCTCAGCATTCCCTCCATCCTCATGGTTAAACTAAGCTTACCAAGATGACTATCTCCTTAGTCTTAGTTGATATATATAAATATATATAAATCTAAATGTTCTTTCTTATGCTGTTAACAGTTCTGGGTTCATTTCTGTTTGTCTTTTTAATTTATTTTTTGTTTATATGTGAGTGTTTTGCCTGCATGAATGGCTGTTCACTACATGATGCAGAGCCCTTGGTGTCATTGGACCCCCATGTGGGCACTGGGAGTCAAACCTGGGTCCTCTGGAAGAGCAGCAAGTGCTGTTAACTGCTGAGCCAGCTCTTCAGCTTCTTGACATTTCATTAGCTTTGGATACTAACTAATTAAGTAAAGAGAATGTATTTCTCTATAATAGATATATTTACCCCTTTATCCTGAAATATGCCTTCTCAATCTGGAAAGAGAGTGTATAATTTGGAAAGTTGAGTAGTTAAGTATAAAGGGGAGAAAAATGCACCCTCATAATTGTTCCGGTAATTTGAGGGTTGCTCTTAATAGAGTTCAAAGGCTGAGGAAGTGTTGAACACCACAAAATTACTGTTGCCCCAGGGTCCTGCTGCACCCTAAGTATGTCCACCAGGGAGTCATTTGTTTGAGGAGTCGATCAAAATGTAGGTGGGTTTCTGCATAAAATTCTTCTACAACAGTGAGTACGCACTATAAGCCAAGTTAGCAACTGGACATACTCTGGGGTTCTCTACAGCTAAAATGCTGCAGTTAAAGCTCTACCTATCTGCATTTTTAACCTGTCACAGACAAAGAGGATCACGCCTAGGACACTGAGCTCTTGAGAGAGGGCAGTGACAATTATGGTCAAGTCCATCAGATACAGAAGTAAATTCATATGCATGCTCTTAATGTAATTCTGTTTTACAGTGTATGTGTATATGTGTTCACCTTAGTGTTTTTTATTTTTTCTTTTCTATTTTGTAGGAACTTACCCTTTTGTAACCTCATCAAACTGTACTGTTGGAGGTGTTTGTACAGGTTTGGGTATGCCACCTCAAAATGTTGGTGAAGTATATGGAGTTGTAAAAGCTTATACCACTAGAGTTGGTATTGGTGCCTTTCCCACAGAGCAAGACAATGTAAGCCGTTTCTTAGTAATCTGATTTTTAAAGCATGAAAGAAAAATCGTGTTCCCCTGATCTCAACCTTAATAGACTCCTCTGCCTCTCTCTTCATTCACAAGGGTCATTTGATGTGTTTGCCTTATCATTTTCAGGAAAACCTTATAACTTTGCTTCTTGGAATGATTGGCTAGGTTTGTTTAAATATTAACAACTTGCTCATGAGCTTTTCCTTTGTTGTGAAAATTACATGAGAAATGTAAAAGGAAGAAAGATGTATTCATCGTGTTTGTTGTCGTTGTTCATGGTTTCAGTCCATGGTTACTCTGTGGTGTGTCTTTGGGCTAGTAGTAAGATATACATGGGGGCAAAAGGGCATGGAGTGGGAAGGCTGGTCCCCTCACCTCATGGCACTTGGGACGCAGCAAGTGAGGACGATATGCAAGGGCACACCAGGTCCTCTAACGAGACCCTGCCTCCCATAGTCCATTCAGCTAGGAACTTAGCTGTAGCAAGCTTTTTCATCAGACTCCCAAATAATGACACAGAGACTTATTAATTATGAAAGCCTGGCCTTAGTTTAGGCTTGTCCCACTAGCTCTTACAATTTAATCTGTTTTTATTAATCTCTATTTTGCCAAGTGGCTCTTTACCTCTCCTTCATTCTGTACTGGCTTCTCCACCTGCTTAGATTCATCCCCCTGAGTTTCTCTGCCCAGAAGTCCCATTTAACCTCTCCTGCCTAGCTATTGGCTGTTCAGCTCTTTATTAAACCAGTCAGTCCCTTAGGCACATTTTCAAACAGTGATCAAATATCCTGCAACACTCATGAATGGATTAATCCACTGATAACATTAGTGTCTTCATGATCCAGTCACTTCTCTATTGCCAAATGCTGAGGACCAAGCCTGCAACACATGGGCCTTTTTCTGAGATCATAACAACTTGTTCTTACTGATAGGGTCTAGTTGTTTTTAAGAAAAGTAGCACGAGAGGGAAAGACATCATGTAACAGGGTTCAAGCAGGGGGATTTTTTTATTAGGGGAAGGGACCATAGAAAGGGAAGGGGGAGACCAGCCTCTGGGAGTAGGAGCATCAGGAGAGAGGAGAGAGGAAAGGGGGGGGGATGGGGAAGGGGAGGAGGGGGCAGACAGGGAAAGAAAGAGAGGCTCTGTAGGGCAGGCTGGTCTCGAACTCACAGAGATCCTCCTGCCTCTGCTGGGATTAAAGGCGTGTGACATCACTGTCCGGCTGGCAGGGCCCTTTTATCAGGGAAGGTAGTGAATGTGCACAGGTGGTGCTCTTAGTGGCTGCAGCTGAGGGCGTGTCCTGTCAGAACCCCAAGGACAGGCCAGTGCAGATGCCTGAATACTAACAACCTGTATATAACGTAAAAAGTATTAGCTTAAAAATGTAAAAATGAAATCAAAACTGAATATATTCCAAGTAATGTCATTTCCATGGAATTTCTGTCTCCAGCTTATTTCATGAAAGATACATATCAAGAGATAATTGTTTGTTTTATAATCTAGTATAATTCCCTAGTTATACAGCTTTGATATTTTAACTTACAAATTCTGTTATACAGGAAATTGGAGAGTTATTACAAACAAGGGGTAGAGAATTTGGAGTAACTACTGGGAGGAAAAGAAGATGCGGCTGGTTGGACCTTGTTTTACTCAAATACGCCCATATGATCAACGGGTTTACCGCGTGAGTCTTCTTCAGAATCTGTGTTTCAGGAAATAGTAGACGGTTGATAACCACAGGTTTGATTTTGTAGAAAGTAAACTTGCGAGTCCCCTAACAGAAAAGCTTCACTCCTCTGCCTCCAGAATAAATTCATAGTTTTAGAAGTGGAATTAGATATAGAAGGAAGTATACAGGAAGAGATACCCAAGTTACTTTCCTGGATGCCCAGGGCTCTAGGAAGAATGGCAGTGGTGTCTGACTGGTGTGTGTGTACAGAGGGCCGTGAGATGGGTAGGCAGGGAGGAGGTGATGGACAGTGTGCACACAGGAGGCGACAATGCTGTGTGGGGATGGGGCGCACACTTAGTGTCTGACCTGGATCAGACATGGACTCACGCGCTGTGCTGATGTGACTGGACATGCTCACCTTTTTGAGTCTCGGTCTCATCATCTTTAAAATCGAGGTCAGGGTATCACTGCCACTATGGGCATTTGAAAGAGAGGTGAAATGCAGGCATACTGTTGTGCTCACTGAGACACTCAGTAAAGTCGAAGCATTTTATGTGTAAGTAAATGTGTTTGTATCTGCATTAATAGGCTGAGCTTCTAACAAGTAAAAGGAGTTTTTTTGTTGTTTTTAAACAAACAAAACCCAAGATTTGTGAACCAGAATCCCAAACCTAGTGTTTTATCTAATTTCCACAGATTTCCCCTTAAAATCCTGTTTTCAAGTCAGTTTTCGGGAAACTTTGATGTATCACGAAGAGGTCCTTGATGTTTCCTCACTCTGTCAGTTTCTAACCAGAAGGGTGGAGGTGATGTTGAGCAGAGTGAACAGTTGGGAATGGTAGCATGTGTGGGAATGGGCCTAATATCTTGTGATTATGTGGAACAATGCGTTCTGCTGTGTCCCTGGGGCACAAAATGCATCCTTAACTCTAGGCGGCCTTCCCAAGTCATCCCTCATAAGATAGCTGAGCAAGTGTGAAGCCACTAGTGAGACTGTAATTACTAGAAAGTAACTGTTTTATGAAGACTGTGTGTTAATACAGGGTCCTCATCCATGTGGTCTTCTGTGTGTGGCACGCTTTCAAGTATAATCCTAACCAGTTTTCAGAATTGCTTTGGAGCGCTGAGCTTTGCATGAATTTTCCCTTTCTCCTGAATCAGTTAGACTGGGGGTCACAAGTTTGCTGTTTCAACAGTGTCTTTTCTTTCAAAATCAGGTTGGCCCTTACCAAGTTGGATATTTTGGATATGTTTACAGAAATCAAAGTTGGCGTTGCTTACAAATTAGATGGGGAAATCATACCTCATTTCCCAGGTACTTTTTTTTTGGCTGTGTCTGAAGTTTATAAGATTGCTAATATTATCATTTAACTAATGTGTAATATGTGTAATATGTAATTGCTACTTTTAAGATTGTCTTTCCCAGGCTTAATTTTTTTTTTTAAAGATTTTATTTATTATGTATACAACATTCTGCTTCTATGTATATCTGCACACCAGAAGAGGGCACCAGATCTCATAACGGATGGTTGTGAGCCACCATGTGGTTGCTGGGAATTGAACTCAGGACCTCTGGAAGAGCAGTCAGTGCTCTTAACCCCTGAGCCATCTCTCCAGCCCGCTAGGCTTAATTTTTATTTTACTCATAGTGCAGATATATTGACATTTTGTTCAAAATTGGTATTAATTTCAGAGTTGGGTCACAAACATGTACTTAAACTCAAAAGAAAGATGCTGCTTCAAGGTTTCATCTTTTTAAACTTATAGAATGGTATGAATGCCTGTAGCCCAGCTACTTAGGAGCCTCAGGTAGGAGGCACGCTTGAGCCCAGGAGTTCAAAGTTAGTTTGGGCAATATAACAAGACCTGTCTATGGCAACATAAAAGTGGGGAAGAGAGAAAGTTTGGGAAGAAAAGACCCTTGAGTCTTGTATGCTCTTTCTCAGTACATGAACTCACTCCATCCTTCAAGCCCCATGAGTTTTTCTAACTGCTCTGTGTCTGAAGTTAAGAGATGAAGGAGATGCCTACTTGGAGGCAGTGTAGTTTTTTGAGGCCCATCTTGTCACAGGATTTACTTACTCAGGAGTTTAGTAAATACTTCTAGATTTAGAAATGGAGATTGCTGATTTTTCAGGTTAGTTTTCCTTAAACACCAAGGAAATACCAGTTGAAGGAATGTTGACAACCTTAATGAAACTTGGCAGTCTGGGAAGTTTTATGACCCTGAGACTAGATATTCATGAAGAATAATTTTCTGTCATTTTCCAGTTTCTCTTACAGAAAAACAGGCATCTGTTAACATTTTAGGATAGTTACTTAGAAACTAATTAGTCAAATATATATTATGTCCTGGTCGTTACTGCTATCTCAAAGTTTTTTTTTTAGATTTCTTGTTTTAAAGGTTTTATTTACTTATTATGTATATAACATTCTACTTCCATGTATATCTGCACACCTGAAGAGGGCTTCAGATCTTATTATAGATGGTTGTGAGCCACCATGTGGTTGCTGGGAGTTGAACTCAGGACCTCTGGAAGGGCAGTCAGTGCTCTCTTAACCTCTGAGCCATCTTTCCAGCCCCTCAAAGCTCTTTTAATAATAATATAATACTTCTTAACTTTCAGCGAACCAAGAAGTCTTAAATAAAGTGGAAGTTCAGTATAAGACTCTCCCAGGATGGAACACAGATATATCTAATGCAAGGACATTTAAGGAGCTCCCTGTCAATGCCCAAAATTATGTTCGGTTTATTGAAGATGAGCTTCAAATACCAGGTAAACACTTTTTGAGCGGCTGTCTTTAATTTTTCTGTTAGTTTGTGGGGTTTTGTTTGTTTGGTTTTTGGTCCCATCCTCTCTCCCGTCCCCCATGCCCATCCCCCCACCCTCATAACCAAAGCAACTTGGGGAGGAGAGAGTGTATTTGACCTGCTCTTTCATATCATTGTTTGTCATTGAAGAAATTCAAGGCAGGAGGAACTCAGGCAGGACAGAAAGCCTGTGGGGCAGGAGCTGATGCAGAGGCCATGGAGGAGTGCTGCTTACTGGCTTGCTCAGCTACTCAGCTGCTCAGGTGGTCTGGCACCACCTGAAATGGACTAGGCCTTCCCCTATCAATTGCTGATTAAGAAAATGACCAATCTTATAAAGGCATTTTTTTTTTTAATTGAGTATCACCCTCTTCTCCAGTGACTGTTGCTTGTGTTAGGTTGTCATAAAACTAGGCAGCTCATTTCATTAGCAAGAAATTTAAAGTAATAGTGAAGAATGAATTGGTTTACTCATGTAGGTCCTTGCTCATGGGAGGGCGAGGCAGGAGGATTCCTGAGAATGCTAGGTTAGGGCTATATAATAAAAACCCTGTCAAATACAACAAAAAACACAAACCAAAGAATGAGAAATAGATATAACGCATACATAAAGCAAGATGGCCAGGGTTGGGCATGATGAAGTTAGGTGGCCTTTCTGTTACGTGATTGCTTTTTCCTTTCATTCTTTTGTTTACACTGATGGGAACTAGAGACAAGAAAAAGTAGGTGGGAGATACTTTCCACATGCAACATATTATGTACTTACACTGTCTCTGTTGTGTTTTGTTTTTATTCATGATTCATTTCAGACATGGTTTTTGGGTCTCTCCCACCTTGATGTCAGCCTTAGCAAACATGTATGCGAATGGCTTTTAGTCAAAAGTTTTTGAAATATAAATAGCTGAGTCTTAATGAACTCTATACAATACTATAAAGGATTCTCCTGCCGGTATATTGGGGAACCCAGGAATTCTACAAATAATTACAGCTGTGAGGCAGAGATGACCAGTCATTCCCTGAACCACCTCTGTACTAGGCCACTCCTATGGCTGTGCTGTGTAGTTCAAAATTGTCAAGCTATTTCTATACATCTTAATGTAAAATTTATAGAGTAGTTTTGATGTTGCTTATCTTTTCTACTAGGAACTCTTATTAAATTATTTATGTCTCTGCTAATTTGGACCATGCTTTTACTGTCATAGTCACTAGGGGTGAAGGAATTGTAAATACTGTATAGTTACAACAGCATTCTAGTCAGGTTCGTCTGTGCTAGACCTTTCTAGAAGAAAATAAGGACAGGCTGCTGACAGAAAGAGCAACACTGAGAAAAAGTAGAGGATTGCCTCTTTCTGACATAGAATTCACCTTTATTGAGAACATAATTGAGACACTTATAAATTTAAATTATTCTTGAATGGCAATAGTAATTCCTCTGTGATGCAGAAATGAAAACATACAAAATTGAGCACACTATGTATTTCTGCATGGCATACTTACAAATCATAAAGACTAAAAATGAAGCTATTTCATCATTTTTTGAAATAACGTATGACAAGAAATCTTGTAGAAAAAAACCTGAAGCAGAAATATTTGCAACCAAATTTTCTAATGGCTTAAAAAAAAAATCAAATCACTTTGTCTAAAGATGACAGTGTTTCCTGTACACTTTTGTTGTGTTTAGAATACAACATAAAAAGTACTCTAACACAGTTTGTAGTTTTTTAGTTTTAAGCAAGTTTCTTAATATAAAGGATAACAAATCATGTTTTGTTTATAATATGCTAAAATGATTACATGGAAGGACTCTTTAAGGCTTATTCATTATTTTATGTGTGCCTGCCTGCATATATATATAATGTATGTGCATCGCATGCGTGCAGTGCCCACAGAGCCAGAAGAGGGCACTAGGGATCCCAGAATAAGAATTGTGAATGACTTTGTGGTAGGAATTGAACCAGGCTCCACTGCCAGAGCAGCAAGTACTTTGGACCACTAAGCCATTTCTCCAGCTTCCCATGGAAGAATTAAAAAAAAAATTTTTTTTAAACTTTATTTCATGTGCATTGGTGTGAAGGTATCAGATCCCCTGGAACTGGCGCCAAAGACAGTTGTGAGCTGCCATGTGGGTGCTGGGCATTGAACCCAGGTCCTCTGGAAGAGCAGTCAGTGCTCTTAACTAAGTCATTTCTCCAGCCCCCATGGAAGAATTCTTATCTTGACTACCCCAGAAACCCTTTTCTTTTGATTCTCAAAATGTACCTTTTAATGGGTATCTTCTTATTTCACCTTAAAAGGTTTCTGTTATACACTAAATTATCTAACAGGACTGTACCCATAGTTCTACTTCGTTTGTGAGATCAAAGATATTCAGTATTAATTATTTCTGCCTTTAAGAATAATATTGACTTAAATTCATATCAATCCTGCATAGTACTGGTAAATGACATTGGAGCAAAACTTGATACTTTACTTTTTGAAACTCTATTTTTTAAATACAACAGGACTCTTCTCTCTTCATTCATCCCAAAGCTGAATGTCACAAGGGACTTGATGTTCATCTCTTGTTTTGTTTTCCAGTTAAGTGGATTGGTGTAGGTAAATCCAGAGAGTCCATGATTCAGCTCTTCTAAGGATTGCCAGCAGCGCACGAGACACTCCTTGAGAGGGAGGGAAAATACTTAAGCATTTCTCTATTATCTGCAAATTCAAGAATAAAGACATGGAATGAGTTTTAAGCTGGCATTGGTTGCAGTCTCTGACAGACGGCTGTCATGGACAGACTGGCGCCCTCCCATCCAGCTTCTCAGCTGGCATGGCCGCCGCCTCTGTTGCTCCTGCTGCTCATGGTGCCACAGTTCCTTCCCGTGTTCAGTAACTGTATAATCCCTGTTGTTTGAAATCTAAAACTTCCAGTGCAGTTTTTCTTCATTATTGTCATCGTGTTTGAGTTTTTATCCCAAATAGATGGTGAGAACAATTAATGCAGTTTTGCACAGATATTTTTACATTCTGATCATTCAGTTCTGTCATTGTAATCTTTGCTGTTAGAAAAAAAAAGAAAAGATAGGGGTTCTGTCAACTTTTGTAATGCTATTAATTCTGTTTAAATTGTGAACTGATTATTTTCTGCTGAGACCATTGTAAAACTGAGCTTTGGTTGGGAGGGGGAGTATGTTCATGGGACCTTTAATTTGTATAGAATGCAGAACCTAGTTCTCTCTACAATTATTTAATACAATGAACATTTAAATTTAGTGTTCAAAAAGAGATGTTTCCCTACAATAGCAATCTTAATGTTAAAAATTAATTATTAAAAAAATCTTGTGATATTTGGTGGATATTTTTCTTTGCTTTCAGATACGAGCTCAAATGTATATCTTTCTTTTTTTGTTTTTATTTTTTAAGTATACTGTTATTTCTGAGAACAGTGGGTTGGTCTTCAACATTGTGCCTGCCGGTATGTCTATAAAATGACCCATAAGTACCCACATGAACCCTAATTGCCAATTGTCAGCCATAATTCTGATCATGCCTTCATCTTTCCTCCCTTGAAAATAAAGAGGTATTACTTAGCCCTTAGGCTTTATATTGTGCTGTAGATTATCCTTCCATGAACTATAACTGTTTAAATTAGGTGTCCCTTGAAATTATTTTATTATAACCATCAATAGCTGATTAAAAAGAACCAGATATTTCCAGTATGTTTTGTGTGTTGTTTTTCTTGTGTTCATAGTAATGCTAGTGAGGAGGGTGGTGTCCCATGCAGTGCTTGTGACAAGGTAGGCAGAGATCAGTAGGATCTTCGGGAGGGTCTTTTCACTGAAGTATTTTTATTAATCATGGCTCCAGAAAAATTCTAAAATAGGAGCAGTTTTGTTAGACTCAATAAGTGATAAACTCAGGTGATCCCACCAGCCCACTGTAACCATGGAACATGTGGGAAAAGAGCAGCGACAATAAATCCTGCTCCTTACCATGGAAACTGGAGATCTGTATTCTTGGCTATAAGCATTGTATTAGTGAGACACATTTGCATTTAAGTTAGTTGATATTTATGACTCACTAAAGCTCGCCTGAGGATTCAGAAAGCAAAGTCAGCCACAAGCCTTAGAAGCCAGGCACACACCTTTAATCTCAGCAGCCAGAAGATAGGAGGTGGTGCTATACACCTTTAATCAAGACTCTGGATTAAGAGGTAGATAGATCTCTCTGAGTTCAAGGCCACCCAGGGATTAATGAGATTGAATCAGTCTAAAAGAGTAACAGATCACACGCCTTCATCCCAGCACTAGTGGGGTATAAAGATAGAATCAGGGTCTTCAGTGTTCAGTAGGAGGCATTCATTCTCCAGCCGCACTGAGGAGAAGCAGTAGGATCAGCCCATTCAGCCTGAGGTGGAGGTAAGAGTAGTAAGGGCCCACTATGCTTCCCTGATCTTGAGCTTGAACCCCAATATCTGTCTCTGGGTCTTTTATTTTTTGTTACAAGGAATTTTTTCCTCCAATACCCAAAATATCTCCAATTGCTGTTATTTACTGATTTTAAACCACTCTGGATAATCTAGTTTCTCTGAATGTGAGCGGTTAGTTGATTAGGAGAGATGGTCTGTTCTTTAAATAAAGCTGTTTTTCAAACCGTTGATAGCTGTTACAATTTCACTCAACAAGGCTGTATGTACCATATTCTGCTCAGTACTGAAGATGGGGTAGCAGGGGCGAGTGCAGTCTTACTGAAACTCATGGTAGCAGCAGCGTTCGAAACATTGATGAGTGGTATTATATGCGCCAAAGAAGCAGTGATGGTGAAATGGGACCTAATCAGAATGTCAGACAAGGGCCAGACAAAGCTCTTAAGAGATACTTAAACATATTAACCAGATGAATTAGCATGAGGGAAAATGTGCAGGGGCCTGACTAGAAAGAATCTGCAGAGTTGGAGAAACGGAACCAAATCAGCAAGGGGCTGGTGAGGTTGGCAGCGGACTGAGGGACGCTCAGCCAAATAACCAGTACACGTTGATGTGAGAATCCTGTATGAATGTAGTGCCTGGTGCAGCCAAGCTGCAGCAGAACTGCTGACTCAGAAAACCCAACCCAGGGGATGGGGAGAGGGCTCAACAGTTTACATCACTTGCTGCCTTCTCAGAGGATCGGAGCTCAGTTTCCACACTGTGTGGCTGCTTGCAACTCCAGGTCTGGGGGTCTGAGGATGATTTTTGGCCTTCATGGGAACTCACATGTATGTAGTGGGTATATACATTTTTTTTATTTTTGTTTTTCGAGACAGGGTTTCTCTGTATTGTTCTGGAGGCTGTCCTGGAACTCGCTCTGTAGACCAGGCTGGCCTCAAACTCGCAGAGATCACCTGCCTCTACCTCCCAAGTGCTAGGATTAAAGAGGCGTGCGCCACCACCACCTGGGTAGGTGTATACTTCTTTAAACCTAATTTTTTGTTGTTGTTGTTGTTTGTTTTTCGAGACAGGGTTTCTCTGTGTAGCTTTGGAGCTATCCTGGCACTTGCTCTGGAGACCAGGCTGGCCTCAAACTCACACTGCCTGCCTCTGCCTCCCGAATGCGGGGATTAAAGGCGTGCACCACTAACGCCCGGCTAAACCTAAATTTTAAAATGTAGACTATTGATTGACTGCAGATGGAGTCTCCAAAAAGTTAAGCTTACCCAACTGTAACACAAGATACTTGAGCAGGGAAGGTTAATATGCATATTTGATATGAATCTAATTAACCATAGGATTAGGAGGGCAGACACAAGACAGTTTTGGAAAGATAGCATGAAGGGTTGTGTGTGTTTATTTGAGACGGGGTCTTATATGGCCCTGGTTGGCCTGAAAGTCACTGGGTAACCCACAATTACCTTTAAGTGATCTTTCAGGACTCTATTCCCCAGGTGTGTGCTACCATCTGTGGCTCAAGAGGCTCTTGCCTTTGCCAATTGTTACATTACAAAGCTACTACAATCAACACATGTGTCACTGTCACGGGAAAAGGCGAAGGCATTTTTTTAAGAACCTGAGGTGGGGGGGACTTAAGCTATTTTAATACAGATCCTTAAAATACTGAGGGTGCCACAAACAAAACTAAGTAGAAAAATGAATAAATCTACAGAAAATATAGATCGAATAAAACATGAAAATGTGCCCAAAGTTCTTCACTGAAGGTAACTTGACAACCGGCATTAATATTTTAACAATTTATGGTATTTGGGATGCATTTTATAAAAATTAATTGGCAGTAATAAGAGCAAGGACAACTGCCAAGAGGATCAGAAGTTTTGCATGTTATTGATGCTAAATTGCTTTAAATCTGGACTTAGGACACAAATTTGTACTTTCTATGGTAATCACTTAAGTCTGAAGCCAAGCAGTGGTGGCACATGCCTTTAATCTCTGCAGGTTGAGCTCTGGGTTCAAGGCCAGCCTGGTCTACAGAGCGAGTTCCAGAACAGCCAAGGTTACACAGAGAAACCCTGTCTTGGGAAAAAAAAAAAAGATAAACAAGAACCAAGAAACAATTATTTAATAAGACATAGGACATGAAAAAGGCAAACTGTAAACTCAAGTGGTAGAAATTGTTGGCAATTTATGTGTTAGGCTTAAATACAATTTAAAGGCAAGGATTGGCTTTAAAAAATGGAAAACAATCAGATTTCATTGTTTAAGTGTACTTTTAGCTAAAAGAAACGCCTAGCTGTTGAAGATACAGCTCAAATGGTGGAGCCCTTGCAGGGAATGTTCAAGGCCCTGCTTTCACCCTCAGTACTGTCTGTGTAAAGGGGGACCTTGGCCAAAAGACCCAGCTCATCACCCAAAGTATGTGCTGCTGCTATTTCTCCTAGCTCCACCCAGGGATCATGTGGGTTCTGGAAGAAAAGAAATGATCCCCTTTTGTAGGGCTGACTCAGAACCAGCTGGTTCCAGATCTGAGGGGGCGATGCAGAGCTTACAGAGATTGGGATCTGTGGTAGTGTGGGTCACTGCTGTGTCTCATGGCTCTGAATCTGTGATGTCATTATTTCAGTTCCAGAAGGAATAAAGAGAGTAATATTGGTGCTTTGGACTATGAGCCGAGGACTAGTTGGTGGGAGAGGCTACCTGGAAGTCAATTAGCACTGCTTTTGCTGAAGGAAAGAAATAGGAAGTCCAAAGCATAAGTACCCCTGGGGGATTAGAAGTGTCATTATCACATTAAGATAAAAGACAGTGGTTCCCCAAGAACCCATGCTTCTCCCCTATGTGGGTTTTGGAGAACCCCAGTGGGTAGTGGCAAGCTTAATTGGTGACTCCTCGGTGGTAGCTGATGTGCCACATATAATCCATTGCTTAAACAAATTCACACATCCCTTGCTAGGTGGCAGCTTTTGATGTGAAAAATTGCTCCCCCATCCCTATTTTTAAAGGCCATTAGAACTGGTTCCTATAGGCGTCTTCACTTTCCTACCATAGGGATGTCTTGACTCTGGCCAAATGTCATCATTTGTCTTGGAAGGGTTTTTGTTTTGTTTTTTTTTTGTTGTTGTTGTTGTTTGTTTGTTTTTGAGACAGGGTTTCTCAAAAAAAAAAAAAAAGAAAAAGAAAAAAAAGAAAAGAAAAAGAAAAGAAAAGCCCAGCCCTGCCTAGCTGTCCTGGAACTTGTTTTGTAGACCAGGCTGGCCTTGAACTCAAAGAGATCTGCCTGCCTCTTCCTCCTGAGTGTGCCACCACTGTCCAGTGTCTTGGAAGGATATTGATCACTGCTACACTTATCCTTTATACTGGTGGGATTGTGCTAGTTGGTCCTACTAAGCAAGACGTAACAACCACTTGAAGTTCAGTGCTAATACATTTGTATTTCAGAGAGTAATTAATCCAATTAAACTTCAGGGGCTGTCTATCTCAGTGAAATGTCCTAGAGTACAGTGGTGTAGGGTATGCCCTATGGGTTGGTGAGATAGCTAAGTGTCAAGAGTTCTTGGGCAATCCTTGGAACCATGTAAAAGTAGGAGGAGAGAACTGATTCCACAAAGTTGTCCTCTGACTTCCATGCATGTTCCATGCATCCAACATACATGCCTCATGTACATGTATATACAATAAAATAATAACAAAATACAATAAAAATTTTAATGAAACTAAAAAAAAAAAATAATAGCCCTCCTAAAAGAAAGGTTAGGTTGTTGTATCTGGCTTTGTCCACAAGCAGAATAGAAGTAGCATGCCTACTGGGTCTCCTTGTATTTATACATAACCTGTTCCTCATTTGACCAAGCTGCTAGTTTTACCAAACAAATGATTGAAATAAAGGAATCCAGATTCATAGACCCAGCATACTACCAAAAGCTGACAGTTCTGATTGGGCAAGGCCACACATTTTAAACCTACCCAGACAGGGCCACCAATTGGGGACCAGGTATTCAAATGCAGGTGCCTTATTTGGAATGCCCCAAGCCTTCAGACTTAGACCAGGACTTAACACACCAGTATCCTCCACACAAGTTCTTGGAACTTTGGCCTGGGACTAGAACATCACAGCTTTGTGGGCTTCCAGCTTGTGGATAATCTGCACATTTAACATCCATAACATTGATTCATATATAATGTTCTATTTCTTCAATACAAGTTGTTCCATTAGCTTGCTTTCTTTCCCCTGTACCCCCTGAATTCCATTCTACATGGACTGGAGTCTGTTTTGTTTTGGCCTTTGTCTTTCTTGTATCAGTTTCCAAATGCCCTGGTGATGCCTAGTTGACCGTGTTAGAAACTAAGTAAGGCACCTTAAACGACATGGAACTCTATGTCCTTGGAGGAAGTTTACTAATGAGAGGCTCTACTTTGGGGGAGTGATTTAGAAGTCAACTGATGGGTGTTGGGGAGTGTCTCCCAGCAACCAGAATGCAGGATTCCTTTCTTTGGGGTTATTTCTCTTTTGGGGGAACCCTTTAGCTCTTTCCCTGGAGAGTTGATGTCTAGTTATCAGTGATTCTTGTTGAGAAAGTTGTTAATCTTGGAAACAGTTTCTCATTAATTCCCCTTCTTCATGGTCCAAAATCCCACTACAGACCTACAGTTGTCTCCCAGTCTTCTTCCTTGGCTAGTTCCCTCTGGTTCTCTCTCTCCCTCTCCACATTCTTTCTCTTTTCCCTCTTTCCCCCCCTTCTTCCTCTTTCTACTTGTGTGTATAAGTGTAATATAATAATGGCATAATTATAAGCACATATAGTTACTGTATAATCTACGATCCCATGTACTGAGAAGGTAGGACAATAGAGGTTTGTCAGCATCAACAACAAGATGCTAAAAGCTTATGACAAATTATGACATTAACATGTTTTTTATTTTCCTTTTCATGTGATGTTACAGACAAGTGCTGTACTACACAGCTAGCCCCTTCAACAGATGTCAAATGTTCTCAAGGTTGGATCTTCATTTCCGGACCAATTTTCCCTGAAGAGAATTTGCAACACAAAATTTGTTAAGGATTAGATCCATCTGTATACACACTTAGAAATAGTGCTGTTACCATTCATTTACTCACTAAAAATATTGTCCAAAGTTGTTTTCTTGGAATACCGCGCTTCTGTTTAGTTTTAAAAGGTTCCTTGGAAAGCCACTTCTCTTCTTACAGCAGTAGACTTCTGGTAGTGAATTCAATGGTCTAGGATTTGATGAAACGGTGGCTAATTTATGATTCAAACCTGGAATTGAAAACAAATTAGTGCCTTGTTTTGGGGAGTAAAAATGTTTTGACACACCATCTTTGTAGCAACTGTACAATAAAAAAGTAATTTAAGATGTTTACAGGGGCATAATTAAAATATGGGTGCCTGGGGGGGAAGGCACTTATGGCCAAGTCTGACAAATGGGGTTCAATCCTTGGCTCCAGATAGTAGAGAGAGAGAACCGGCTCCCACCAGTTGTCCTATGACCTCTGCATGCTCATGAGTGTGAACACACATCTAACAAATAAGAATGCAACTAAAAAAAAATTAAAGCAAAATATAGAAAGGGTTACTAAATAAAAGGTTCTTCAAAGTTTCCAGTTAGTAGGCATATTATTGGATTATATAAAAGTTTAAGGAAAACTCATTAGATTTTTATTTTGATATCCTGATGTTGCTGTCTGCTGTCCTCTGAGGGCCTGGGTTCCAGAGTGGGCATTTCTCCCCTGCTGTCTCTGGCATCCCTCCAGACTGCTGCTGCCTTCTCTGGAGACAAGAGACCGAGAGAAAATCCTTCCTGACCCCGCCATTCTTAAACTTGTTTTGTAGCCCAGGTTGGATTTGAACTTTCAGTCCCCAAGCTTCTGCCTCCAGAGTAGCTGGAATTACAGGCTTGTATAACCAGTTTTCTGTTTTTCAGTAAAGAAAAAAAGAGGGACTTTTTTTTTTTTTTTTGAAAACTATTAAGCACTTAGTAGTACAGGTGACACTTGGCTGTGACAGGGACACTGTAGCTTCCAGGCCACCATGCTGGAGAGCGATATGATCTGGGTGTGAATTCTGCCCCTGGCTTTCCTCCTGGCTGTGTGATTCAGGGTTAGTTCATGACAGGTCTTGGAAACTTGGCTTCCTCTGTTTAAAACAACAGTACTCACCCCAGAGAGACGCCATCCCCCACTGCAAATTTGGGGATCTCATTTAGGTCTCAGCAATTCACTCAATGAGCCAAAGTTGAAAGCACCAATGACTACAGCAACATGGGTACTATTTAAATGAGTGTTGTGTGAATACCCAGGACCACCTCTGTCCACCTCAGGACCCTCATGTCGGCCACAGCATACAGATACGCTACAAGGGGAGTCTAGAATTTCTGAACTGTGGTGTAAATAATCAATTGTTATAGGCATTTAAACTAGAATGAAAAGAAAGGTTCCCTAGCAGAACACCAGGTTACACTCAAGGTTTTGTTTCCAGTGCTCAGAGTCAGCTTCCTAGGACAGTGAAGAGTTTTCACCCTAACGGTCTCAGATGCAAGGAGCTAGAAAGGCAGGAAGAAGCCCCAGGATCCCTTCTAACTTCTTTCTGATCCCTGATCTGCACATCTATTTCTGCCCCCAGTTTTACTGGTCCCAGTCATGCCCTTCAAGGCAGTAAGCTCCCAGGATATGCCAATCTTGCCACACTGGCAAGTTTATTCTCAGCTAGTTGATAGCACTTACCTGTCTCATAAAATGGCAGGGAGTAGGCTCTTTGGTAAGTTGTTTCATTATACCATGTGTTCATAGGCCTTGAGAATCTTTCAAAGGAAATGTATTGAATGAGCGTTTGCTGGTCTAATTGAGGCTGATAAGGAGTTTTGCTCTTGGATGGAATTGCCAAGTCTATGAGTGGTCTGCATGGAAACAAAAGTAGCTTGCTGAACACCTTTGGAGAATCCGTCCGTTTTCTCGAGAGCTTCGAGTTAGAGGTGTGTCCTCCTCTGCTGTATTCCTACCCGGATCGGGACGACCTCAAAGCTGCTTCCAGTTTCATAATTTAAATACAGACTATACAGGTGGCCTGCCAACTCCCGCCCCTGCATGAGGATGATTGGAGGTTGGCTAGATGAAGTTAACTAAGAGAAAGGGAATTGAAATAGATAGATGATGAACTCGAACGAGAATGGCCATGCCGAGGGCTAATATGCCTTAGAATTTTACAACACTTCTTTTATTTGGGAGTGACATACTCAGAGAAGGTGAAAATTGCCCCAAATCAAGTTTCCCAAATTGATACTTTTACCTCCTGGAGTTCCTAGTCTCTCTCTGGACCAGGAAATAAGGTCGCCATGTCTATGGCTACTATTTTTTGCTTTTGTGTGTGTGTGTGTGTGTGTGTGTGTGTGTGTGTGTGTGTAAGCCACATGTAGAAAGGAAGAAACCATATTAATCAAATTTATAAGTTTACTGAGAATGAAACTGAATCCCAGTAAATTTAAGTTATTTGGCCAATCTGGAATTCTAAACTCAGGCTGTTTCTTAAATTCCATAGGTGTTTTAATAAAAATTCTATTTTTACTGCTGATTGTGGAATCAATATATTTTCCTTTAAGAAGATCCGTGGACTAGAGAAAAGAGGAAAAGAATACGAAGTACTAATGATATTACCACTTTTGAAAATGGAAACAAAGCCAGAGATTGTCAGTGCTAGAGATGTAGCTCCCGATGGAACTCATGCCTAACATACTTGAGGCTTTGGGTTTGATTTCAGCACCCAAAGCCCTCCCAAGAAACCTTCCACCCTCTTCTGGCCATTAGGTAACACTTGCGATTAACATTAAAGTTATTGTTACCATTGAGATCGTGTAGCTACAGACTGGCGAGGTGGCTGAGCTCTTACAGAGAAACCTGAGATCAGTTCCCAGCACCCACATTGGGCAGCTCACTTCTGATCTGCATGGGTGCACTCAGGCGCACATACCCACATGCACACACACACATGCAAAATTTAAAAAATCTTTTAAGTTCTTCAGTCCACTTCCCCCTACTTATCATTTTAACTTCGATGACCTTCTTGGAAATTCAGGGTTAGGGGTGTGTCTCACCTTGGAGCCCTCTTCTTGCTGTTATCAAAGTGGACTCTTGCCAGTTGTCCAGTGTAATAGCCTCTGATGTCCTTTCCTTGGTGAGCGATAAATAAACTAGAGGGAGCAGACAGTGATGACAGTCAGTCCCTTACAGAAGTCTACCAGCTGGCATGTGATAAGTAATTTATCTGGACTTTGTGCCCTGTTCCAAGCAACTGAAACCAGTCAGATTTTCCAATCGTGTTGGTTGTTAGTCATAACAAGTGTCTCTGTGTTCATTCGCTGCAACCCACTACAGGAAGCCAGCTCTCTGGCCAGGGCTGGGAGCTGCACTAACCATGGGGATAAACTTCTCAGTGAGTGCTTTTAGCTCACCCATCAAAAGGATATGAAGAGGGGGACCCATCAAGATGTCTCAGTCCCTTAAGGCACTTGCCTCTAAGCCTGACGACCTGAGTTTAACCCCTGTAACCCATGGAAGTCGAGAACTGACTCCATAAAGTTGTCCTGTATCTCCATGTGTATCATGCATGCCCCCCCCCAATAATAATAAAGCTTAGAGCAAAAAAAAAAAAGTGTCTTTTCATCAGACCTGAGCTTGTGGTATTGGCTGGTCTCCCTTCCCCAGTAACCTCTAAAACCTATAATAGAGTGTCATTTATTTCCAGGACTCATAAGCAAATATTTAGCATGTCATTTATTAGGTCAAAAGAGAGAGGATGAGGGAAGGAGGATGGGACAGAGGAAGAGAAGGGGAGGGGGAGGGGAGGGAGGAGGCAACTTGTAAAGTTAATGACAAGTTAGAGAGAGTAAGAGTAGTTAAGAGCACTGGCTGTAGAAGACCCAGATCAGTGCCCAGCACCCACAGCTGACAGTTCCAGGGGATCTGATGCCCTTTCCTGACCCCTGAGGGTGCCTGTACACATACATGTATACTCAGGAACATACACTATAAATAAAATCCTTGAAGTCAATGAAACAGATGCTGGCAATTCCTGAAACATAGGAATAAAAAAATGAGGATTCCTTATTATTTAACCTTTGAAATGTTTATAAAATTTCATAGGAAGCTTTCTACCTAACAGTAATAGTTGACCATATAGGACTGTGATGTCAAGGCATGTGGGTCCTGTGAGGAAAGACAGGTCTCTATACCCTTGTGCTGGGATTACCAGTATATGCTGCTGCTGTTTTGAAGCATAACATGAGCCACCCCCATGGGGATCCAGAAGATGTATGTCTGGGGTGTGAGCATGAACTGTGTTTGTACAACTGGAATGCTGTGGTGTGATGGGGGAGGTTCTTCTGTGTATATGTTTGTCTTATTGGTTGATAAAGTACTGTTGGCCAATAGGAAACCAAGATAGGTGGGACTAGGAGTCAAGGAGGATTCTGGGAAATGTAGTAAAGAAGTCTTGCAATCCAGGCAGGAAGTGACATAGCAGGCAGACTCATATATAAGCAAGGACAAGAAGGAAGTCGTTCCTTTTTTCTCTTTCTTCTGGTGTCTGCTCTGGAGTCGCCATGTGATCCGCCGGCAAGAGAGGGTGCCAGCAGTAGGTGTCCTCAATAAGATAAGTCTTTTTTTGTTTGTTTATTTGTTTTTTGTTTTTGTTTTTTGAGACAGGGTTTCTCTGTGTAGCTTTGGAGCCTGTCCTGGCACTCGCTCTGGAGACCAGGCTGGCCTCGAACTCACAGAGAACCACCTGCCTCTGCCTCCCGAGTGCTGGGATTAAAGGCATGCGCCACCAACGCCTGGCTAGATAAGTCTTATAAAATATATAGATTTATGATAATTAAGACTGAGCTAGCAGATGAGAAATCCTAGTCAATTAGCCAAGAAGCATTTGTACCAAATATAAGTCTCTCTGTGTTACTTGGGACCTTATCGTGGCAGCAGGGCTCCGGCGGCTTCGTCGGAAAGATTTATCGATACAGTGGTGTTGAAGCCTTGGCCCCCCGGGTTGTGCTACTGGGGAATGGAAGAACCTTTAGGAAGTGGAGTTTGGGGGAGACCTTAGGAATATTGAGGCAGGAGAATAGGATGGAAAGTGAAGTCCAAAAACCCTTACACAAAAGCTGTAAGATTAATATATAAAAGGAACCTATTGACAGGGGTTGGAGGAAGAGCTGGTGGGACACTACAGAGAGCCTGGCATCTAGGGTTTGCATAGGGTAAAAGAAGGAGTTTTCTAGAGGAGGGAAATCATATAAGTCAAGACTAAATCATAGTTAAGAGTAGAATATGTGCAGATTGTTAGCTTTTTATTACTGTAGTGCATATCAGATAACTCAGCTTAAAAACAAGAAAGTTTATGTGCCTCATGGTTTTAGGCTGTGTCCAATTAATTGGTCCTGTTGACTTGGTCACACAGCACATCATGGCAGGAGTGCAATCTTCTAAAGGTTCCTCCGTAGCACTACTGGCTAGAGACCAGGCCTTCAGTATACTGACCTTTGGGGCCACTGAAGACCAGGATGATTGCAGGGGGCAGGGTAGGTCTAGCTGTTTAGTGTGGACCAAAGCAAGTGCTGGGCAGGGCAGGTTCTGTCTGTCTATGCCAACAGACCTCAGAGAGCTCTAATTTTCTGAATACCCACCGGGTGTCTGGGCCTGTCTAGTGGCTAGGATAATGGACTGAGGCCTGAGTTACAGCGGGGGATTAAGTCATAAGAGGAGAGAGAAGTTGGCACAGAAATAGGGAACAGATGACGTTGCTGAGTGAGTGGGTGGTGGAGGAGCCTCTGAGGCAAACCTCCTCCAGCCCTGATGTAGAAGGAGTCCCCTGGAGCCAAGCTACAAGTTCCAGAGGAATCCAGGCACCCTGGGCAGGGTTCCTGGGGTTTCGCGGCTGTCTGCAGCAGGCTGTTTGATCTTCTCTGGTATCTTCAGTCCAGCAAAGCCCGCTGAGGCACAGAAGAATTTCACCCCACTCTAATCATTGCTTCGAGAATAGAACCATCTCTACTGGCCTCCTATTGTATGATCTGCTGCAGTCCTTTGAAGAGACCCCCTGGCTGGTTGGGCAGAGGTGCAGAGAGAGTAAGAAAGGGAGTACCTCAGGGAGAGCAGGCTGAGTGAAGTGAGGTTTGGGGAAGAAAAAGATGGCTCATTTTGCTTCTATCTTTTCTCTCTTCCTTTTGTATTTCCTGCTCTCTCACTCCCCTTTCCCACTTTGTCGGTGCTTCCGGTTGAACCCAGGACTTTATACATATTAAACAGTGTTCTGTCACGGAGTCACAGCTCACTTTTATTTTTATTTTGAAATAGGGTCTCGCTGGTCAGTGGTGGTGCACATCTTTAATCCTAGCACTTGGGAGGCAGAGACAGGCAGATCTCTGTGAGTTCGAGGCTAGCCTGGTCTACAGAGCAAGTACCAGGACAGTTAGGGTTACACAGAGAAACCCTGTCTTGAAAAAACAAGAAACAAAACAAACCAAAAAAGAAACTGGGTTTCTCTGCGTTGTCCATGCTGACCCCAAACTCATGATCCTCCTGCCTCTGCCTCTGCCTCTGCCTCTGCCCCTCCCTCTGCCTCTGCCTCTGCCTCTGCCTCCCAAGTGCTGAGATTAAAGATGTGTGCCATCACC